AATAAAATAAAATAAATAAATAAATAAATAAATGTATATGTTTAGAAATCAAAAGAATATTGAAAGTTATTTATTCAGAAAACGGCTTTACCAGATTCAAAACAAATGAGCCAGGCTGGGGATATAGCTCAACGGCACAGCACCTGCCTGGCAAATGTGAGGTCATGAGTTCAATTTCCAGTACCAAAAAAAAACCCAAGTGAGTCACACAAGAAATAAGCCACCACACAAGAAATTAAGTTCTACGGTGTATCCAGAAGCGGCGGTGCACCCCTGCAGTGCCACCACTTGGGAGGTGGAGGCAGGAGGATCCCTGTGAGGTCAAAGCCAGCCTGGGTTACATAGTGAGTTCAAGACCAGTCTGAACTACATAGCAAGAGCCTGTCTCAGAAAACCAAAACTGCAAGCAAGCAAACAACTGTGGCGAATGCAGCCACTTTATCTACTGAAGTACAGAAATAATCTTTTAATAATAGTAAAGACTCTATAAAAATGTAACTTTTTATATTCATCTTCAACTCTCCACATTACCCACCATCATTTTTTACTAAACGTTTTTCAAATTCACTAAGCATTCCACTACAACAAATGCTTACTAAGTCAATAAACTGCCACAAATTACTTTCTGGTGAGATCTTTTTATGAATAATCAAAATATTTGCTTTTATTTTAATTTCATGATAACAATGAAAAATTGGAAACCTATTTACATACCAAACAATTCTATGTTATCATTCATTTTGTAACTCTGTGTGAATGTTTACCACGAACAATGTCTTATGCATGAAAAGTGGTATTCAAATCAAATTATACCTTACATGTACTCAATGATTGTTATTTGCAGCAGTTATGTTCTACAAAGTCACTAGATCAAGGAAATGGCGAATACTGAATCACTGCTACTACGGTAAACACGGGGTTAGGGTCCTATAAGCCTTTGGACCTAGTATTTTCATCAACCAATCAACAGAGACCCTTGTTTTCTGTGTTTCGGTTTAAAGCTATTTTATTTACTATACATTACTGATTCGTTATCACTGAACTCCCTGCCACCAACACATTAATAACCTCTTGCCTGTGCAAAGCCCATCCAACACAGGCGTCTCCAGCATTAAGGCACACCACACCCTCCAGCACTCACACTCCACGCTTCAGCACAATGCTCAGGGACACCATAAAATAGCAAAAGCATCACAAACACTAGACACATCAGTAAGAGGATGCGTTTACAGTACGCGAGCTGAGAACAAGGCCGGCTGTCACCTCACCACAGCATGGCTTGGAATGTGTTCAGGAGGCAGCTCCAAGTTCTCATCACTCCGCTCACCCAATGAATGAAAATGACAGCAGCACTGACTGCAGACTCACAAAGACATTTCCGCGGGCAAAATCACAAACGGTGAATCTACGGATAATGAGGACTAACACTATAGAACAAGCTCAATGAAACAGACTAAGTGTGGTGGTGCATTCCTGTAACCCCAGCCTCCACCGTGAGTTCACGGTCACCCTGGACCTTGCAAGACCCTGTCTCAAATAAAACAAATGCATGAAACAGTTTAGTACTTCAGTAAATTTTATAAATGTGAGGGTTTACATATTGCTGGTTAACAAGTATGTGAAAATTTTATGGCACTCTTCAAACTGCACACACACAAAAAATCACTACTGTGTTATAAAGTTTACAGATGAAGAATAAAAATGGAAAATTTAAAATTTATTGCCACCTTTTTTAAGAACAGTCAACAAGGGGAAAATACTATAGAAAGACATAGAAAGAACGGTAACTTTATTCTATTCCTTTATTATTTTGGCGCTGGGGAATGAACCCAGGGTCTTGTGCATACTCAGCACATGCTCCCTCTAAGCTGTGTCCTCAGCCCTAAAAACGTAACTGTTTACAAGCTCTCTGCCTCTAATATCTCTTTAGGGGAAAAAGAAAATCAGACATGTTTACGATCATTATTACATATTTTATATGTATGTATAGTGTATGTGTATGTGTATATACATGTATATGTATATACAAGGGTAGCTAGGATAACTGTACTGCTGACGTCTAATAGTTTATTGAAAGGAATAGTTAATGCTTTATTTTTTTGACCAGTTTTGCAGGCCTGTATCTGGTCATCTGAACAACTAACTTTACAACAATATGCAATATAACAACCACTGGTGAATTCCTACCATCTTATCTAGTGAAACTCTGTATTGTTCCTACATTTTTTTATTATTTTTTTATTCTCTGTAATGGTTTGATCAATCTTGCATTCTTACATTTGGTAATCTGAGAACCTCGTTGAAGACAATATGTAATATAACAAACCACTGTTTTTTGTTGTTGTTGTTGTTTTTTTTGTTTTTCTCCGGTACTGGGAACCGAACTCACGACCTTGAGCTTGCCAGGCAGGCGCTTTGCCGCTGAGCTAAATCCCCAGCCCGTGTAACAAACCACTGTTAATTCCTATCATTTTGTTTTAAAATCCTGTATCATTTTTATTGTTTTTGCTCTGTTTTGTTTTTGTCTATGTTGTTGTTATTTTGGTTTTTTTAATTCTCTTTAAAATAAAATAAAGCCTCATTTAAATCGTGGAACAGTACACAATCTTTAATAAGAAACGAGCTAGACTATATCATATGCACACATAAAGATCTTATATAGATATAGATATGGCATTTAGAGGCCGATATACAGACAAGAAATGACATTTGTATGATTGAGTAAAAAAAAAAAAAAAAAAAATCACAGAATACTAAGTACATGATTCCTTCTGTGAAAAACAAGCGTAATTTCATACACACACTAAAACTGCTAACAAGGCAGCAGTTTTGGCAATTTAATTTTTTACAATGAGTTTTATAAACAGGTAAGTTCCTGACATGTGCTATTTTTTCTTGTTTTGTTTTGCTTTGCTTTTTGGGGGGGCTTGGGGTTTTTCTGTTTTTTTTTTTTCCCCAGTACCGGCAATCGAACTCATCACCTTGCACTTGCCAGAAAGGCGCTGTGCCGCTGAGCTAAATCCCCAGCCCCCTATTTTTTCTTGTTATGGCCATTCTCAATTTGAATTAATACAAAATTCATGTCATCTGACATGACTCTCATAGCTTCATTTTTCTGGTAAGTTCTGCTAAACATAATTAAAAATAAACACTCCCCAGTTTCAAGACAGAATTCCAGTAAATATTCTCTAAAAGTTCTCCCCCAAAAAATGTGCACAACACTCACCAATCCCCGAAACTGAAATGTTTAATGATTTGAAAGAAACCAACAATTTTTGTAAGAGCCAAACAGTAAATACTTCAAACTTTGTAGGCACACATGGTCTCTATTACATATTCTTCGCTTTTGTCTTGCTTTTCCTTGCAACTCTTTAAGATTATTTTCGAAAATTTTTATAACTCAGGCCCACACAAAAACAGGCCATGAGCCAGTTTTAGCCTGCTGCCCATAATTTTCTGACCACTGATTTATAACAAGAAATCAGTGGTCAGAATATCAGAAGCTGATATTTTAAATGTATTACGACAAAGGCATCAAAAGTCACATAGGTTCAGTTTTACTCCGTATTATGTAAGGCGTTATTATAGCAAGTAAATAGAAATTGATGCACTGAATTTGTGTGTATTTGTGAATGTGTGTGTGTGCGTGCGTGTGTGTGTGTGTTATTGGGGATTAAACCCTGGGCCTTCATACTGAGCTACATCCCCAGATCCTTTTATATCCTGAGACATAGCACCAGTAAGTTGCTCTGGTTGGACTAGAACTTGTGATCCTCCTGCCTCAGCCTCCCAGAGTTCCAGGCTTACAGGTGTGCACTAATAAAACCAGATTAATATACCCAATTCTATATTCTACACAAACTGATTAAAGGACTAGTAAACGCAATTTCAAGCATGCATATTATTTAATCATGATTATATATGTGCCTGTAAAGCATATATCCACTGGAAAAAAGAACCAGCTAAAATTTAATTACAGATCAAAGCTCAAACCTCCTTTTAGGATAATTAAAACCATTCACATATTCAAATAATCAAAACTAGTCTTTCGTTTCAGATATCATCAACCCCTGAAAATTAAGTACTGAATTCAGTACCTGGTAGTGATTTATATGGTTTTAATTTTTAATTTATCAAGATTATTATAAAATATTAACAATCTAAAATATTCTTTAAAAATTCATATTCTTGAAATCTCTTAGTATTTATCATGCCAGCAACCAATTACTGTTTTGTTTTGTCTGAGACAGGGTCTCACTATGCAGTTCAGCCTGGCCTTGAACTCACTTTGTAGCCCAGGTTGGCCTCAAAAATCACAGTGATCCTCCTGCCTCAGCCTCCTGAGTACTGGGATTACAGGCATGCACTGCCATACCTGGCCACCAAGTAACCAATTACCATACCACCCTTTTCTTTCTCTTTAAAAGACAGCTTTATATTTATTTGACTTTATCTAAAATTGAAAGATCCTCATTATCATCTGGGTGATATTACCAAATGTAAATTTCATCATGAATAATAAACCAGGTCAAATTAAAATCTAAAATGAGAAATTCATCCTGCAGACATAACCAAATACTCGTAAGAATCTTACCTAGACTGGTGGGTTTTATCAGTTCATCCAGTAAGTCATAAAACGGTAGTTTTTGAAGTTTTATATCCGGATGGACTGGGTGAAGAGCGGATGTAAGATGTGGGAGTTCCAGTTCGTGTTTAGGTCCCAGGAGAGAAACGGGGAGTAACGGTGAGGCAGGGTGACCGTCGTAAGTGAGCTGTGGAATGGTGGATGGTGACAAAGTTGCTGGCATAGGACTTGAATGTACACTGGGGATAGACAAGTCCGCAGGCGTCATGATTTTCTGGGGGAACCGCCGCCTATAGAGTTCTTTAATTTTCATTTGTACAGCAGGACTACAGCCAGCCTTGAGTAAATGCAGGGCCTTTGTGAGAAGTTCGTGTTTGCGTCCGTGTTTGTTTCTCCCAGCGTAGCCCAACAATACTTGGAGTTCAGAAACTCTAAGGCTCATAACCATTTGCTTGGAGAAAAAAATAAAATGTAAAACATTAGTATCCAATAAAATACTGAGCAATATTAACCAAACTTTATTATAACCCTCTACTTAGAGCCTGCGTAAGTCAGGCCAGCTCACTTACAATCCCTGCGGCTTCAAACTTAAATCCTAATCGCTGAGCTGGGTGCAGGGCGTGCGCCTGTCACCGCAGCACCGTGGGACGCTAAGACAGGAATACCCTAAGTCCGAGTCTTGCCTGGGCAACTTAGCACAACTATGCTCAAAATGAAACAGGAAAGGGCAAGGGACACAGCTCAATGCAAAAGCCCTGGGTCTGCCAACTGTGGTGGTGCACACCTGTAATCCCAGCACTCACAAGGCTGAGGCAGGAGGACTGCTGAGAGTTTGAGGCCTGTCTGGGCTACAGAGTAAGTTCAAGATCAGCCTGAAATATATAGCGAGACTATGTCTCAAAAAACCATGAAATAAAACCATACAACCTCCCCCCCCCCCCAGATTCAATCCTCAGCACCAAAGAAAACAAAACTTTTAATCACTTAAGTAACCAAAGAAATTTAAAATCAGTGTTCCTAACTTCACTGGCTTCCACCCAGCATCTGCAACGTTATCGGATGAAGTGTGCACCAGCAGGACCGCGTCTCACTCCCCGCCACCGTTCTGGTGAGACTGGCAGGTACTCGGGCATCATTCAGGTTGCCAGGAGAATATGCTACAGGTGTGGCAAAGACGACAATGTGCCCTCACCAACAGTTTTGTTTTGTTTTATTTTTTTTTTAGCCATGCCCAGCTAACAGGTTTTTTTTAAGAGAAGAAACATAAATATATTTGAAACAAATGGCCCACCTCAAAAACCAGATGTAGGCAAGATATTAATATTATCAAGTATTAGATTCTATACTAACTTTCAAATTCATAGGACTTAAATTATACCTTTTTTGACCAGTCACATACCCGATACTATATGTGATATTTTCATGTGGGTTGTCACTTAGTCTTTATAACACAGGGTGTTCGCCTTTCTGCTTTACATATTGGAACACTAGTTCAGAAGAGTTAAATAGCTTATTCAAGGCACACGGCTAAGTAGCAGCTGGGATTCTAAAGCTCCTGCTCTTTCCACTCACCCATTAAGAAAGGGACAAAGCTAGACATGCATTAACTTTTCTTTTTCTTTTTTTTATTTTAAAGAGAAAAGAACAAAAACAAAATAACAAAGATTAAAACAAAACAACACAAACTATAAAAATGATACAGAATTTCAAAAACAGATGATAGGATATCAACAATGGTTGTTGTATTGCTGTTATCTTCAAAGTAGTTGCTCAGAGGGGCTGGGGATTTAGCTCAGCGGTAAAGCGCCTACCTGGCAAGCACAAGGTCGTGAGTTCAGTTCCCGGTACCGGAGAAAAACCAAAAAAAATAAATAAATAAATAAATAAACAAAGTAGTTGCTCTGATTACCAGATGTAGGTATGAAAGATTGATCAAACAATTAAACATTAACTGTTCCTTTCAATAAACCAGTAGAGATTAGTAGTATAATTATCTTAGGTATCTTGTATATATACATATATATTTTTTCCTTTCCTTTTTTCTTTCTTTTCTCCTTCCCCTCATCCCTGTTGTTCTTTCCTACTGAGCAATTTCTTTCCCTTTCACAATATCTATTGCACCTTTCAGATTTTATTTATGCTTTCAGGTACTTACACTAGGGAGACACTATGATGTTTACACATGCAGGTCTGATTTATTTCACTTATGAGTATGGTCTTTGGTTGCATCCATTTACATATAAAAGCCTCGAGTTTATCTTTCTTTATAGCTGAGTAATACTCCACTGTATAAAAATACTACATCTTTTTTATCCATTCCTCAGTTGATGGGCATTTGGGTTGTTTCCAAGATTTAGCTATGACAAATTGTACTGCTATAAACATAGGTGCACATATATCGCTATGGTATGATGTGTTTAATTCTGGGAAAATACCCAGAAGGGGAATAGCTGGGTTAAATGGACCTCTAATTCTAATTTTTTGAGGAATCTCCACACTGATTTCCAGAGTGGTTGCACCAGTCAACATTGCCACCAGCAGTGGAGAAGGCTCCTTTTTCCCCACAGCCCCTCCTGCATTTGTTATTGGTTGATTTTTTTTTTTCTTTTTTGGTTTTTTTCCAGTACCAGGAATCGAACTCACGACCTTGCGCTTGCCTGGCAGGCCTGTGCCGCTGAGCTAAATCCCCAGCCCCTATTGGTTGATTTCTTGATGACAGCCATTCTTACTGGGGTGAGATGCAATCTCAATGTTGTTTTAATTTGCATCTCTCAAATGACCAGTGATGTTGAACATTTTTTAATGCATGTATTTGCCATTTGCATCCCTTCATCTGAGAAGTGCATATTCACCTCGGATGCCCATTTTTGTATTGCGTCTTTGAATCTGAGGAATCTGGTTTTTTTCAAATCTTTACAGACATGTATTAACTCTTATTCCACTCAGAAGGATGGGCTAAAAGTCCAGGAATTCAAATTACATACCATAAGTGTGACGCTACAGTAAAAAAATGTACTTAATCCTGTTCACAAACTTAGTCACTTTCTCCCCCGAGCCTCCAACACTAAGAAGCTGAACAGGAAATGCCTATCTGATCCAGTCCTCCTGTTTCAAAGCATCAGAAAAGGGAATTCCAAGGCAATAAATGACTTAGGCTAGGTCACACTGCTATTCACGGCGGAATCCTAAGTCTTCACTACTAGTGACAGAAGTGTCAGGACGAAGAGGCACACGTGCGCCTACCCTTCCTCAAGGGTTGGATTCCTCCCCTCTCACCAAGCACCGCAACGTAAAGGTTGTGCTCCCTTCCCACCACTCACCATGCTGGCCCTCTCCCCTAGCCAGTCCTCTTGCTTCTTTACAGGTGGCAAAACAAATAAAAAAAAAAAAAAATCCACAAGTATGCAAAGAGTTTTTATTAGCAGTAAAGCTGATTAAAGATAAAAGGGCCTTGTTGCTACTGCTCTGGCCTGGAAGCTCTTGTCTCTGCACGGTCAGGCTCTGCCAACTGCAGGAGAGGACGGCTTTCCCCGGGCACTTCCATGTTCTTACTTTGGTACTTCTGCTGTATCATTTTCTGTTACCTATGCGATTCAGTGACTAGACTGAGGTTGTCCAGGGCACATGATTACCTTATCCTCAGTATCTAGGGCCAGGGCCTCCCGACAACAGGACAAACAGACGTCTGCAAAATGAACACCAGGAAGAAAGGCACACCAAAATTGTGGGGGTGGAGGTGGAATACAGAGATGAATTACACCACCGAATGCGCACACGCAAGTGCTACAGAGAATGCAAAGATACAGCACAGACTATAAACAAACACGACCAACCCTAAAACTGTTTCTCTTTACGTTATCAGAGATTGTAAATAATTACTAACTATAACATCAGCAGCTTCTGCTTACATCGCATAGGGTACGAACAGGGTTTTAAAGGTGTTTTATCATTCCTTTCACAAGAGGAAACTGAAACACAATGCAGCATTAGCGTCTGCTTTTAAGGAGATAGTTCCAGTAATCCCAGCTACTGGGGGTGGGCACTGAGGCAGGGTTCAAGTTTGAGGGCAGTCTGGGCAATCTGGCAGAGCCTGTCTCAAAATAAAAAGGGCTCAGGACACAGCTCCGTGCTCCTTGGGTTCAACCACCAGGGAAGGGAGGGAGGGAAGCAGAGAAGGACTGGAAACTTCAAGGACCAGAGATTAAATATTAAATTAGCATTGGTCAATGTACTTTGTTTCACAAGGAAAAAATATGCACTGTATATAAATTTGAGAGATGAACAGCTAGCAATGTGGCCCCTAGAACTGTAAGCTGTAAACGTGAGGTGATTTTTAGCACTCTTTCATGACTGGGCCGCACCGTCTCTGAGCAGGGACTGCACAGCAGACAGGGAAAGCTGCGGAGGGGCGCGGTCTGGTGCTAACTCACCTCTAGCACCGCCACACGGTCAGTAGGATAGAAACCCACACAGAGTGTGTCAGAGTCACTGGTGCTTGTGGAAACTGGCAGCTAGAACTCACTGATCACTGAGCGTACTTTAACCTACTTACATGTGCGTATGCCTATGAAGACAGATGTGCATATTGTTTTTAAGGCGTGGAAGTGTTCTTAAGCTTGTATTATTTTGTAAAATAATTTTTAGCAGCTGTGGTGTATAAGAAGTATAAAAATGTATCAAATAGTGTAGTCTGTAATGCCAGCACTCAGGAGGCTGAAGCAGGAGATTCGCCATGAACTGGAGTCCAGCTTGGGCTACACAAGATCCTATCTCAAAAAAAACAAAAAACAAACAAATGAAAAAGCTTTTCTTCATGATATTGGTATAATTATACATACAATATTGCTAATACTAGAAAATAAGTGATTTTGATAAATTTTTATTCCAGCGTGGCTTCAACACTGTCTCAAAAACAAAGAGCCTACCATAAGACAGGGTGAGCTGGGTGTGGTGACACACACCTGTAATCCCAGCACTCCGGAGGCTGAGGCAGGAGGATCACTGCGAGTTTGAGGCCAGCCTGGGCTACAAAGTGAGCTCAAGGCCAGCCTGAACTGCATGGTGAGACCGTGCTTGAAAAAAAAACAAAAAAAAAAGGGTCCAAGTAAAGACAAGCTGTGGATGAAGGAAGTGCCCAGTGATAAATGGACAGATGAGACTTCTCCTTCGTCAGGACAAACGAGGCGCTGTGCTTCATTCGTAGAGAAACTGTGTCCTTGGGGCTGGGGATTTAGCTCAGCGGCAAAGCGCCTGCCTGGCAAGCGCAAGGTCGTGAGTTCGGTTCCCAGTACCGGAGAAAAACCAAAAAAAAAAAAAAAAAAAGAAACTGTGTCCGCTTTCAAGCATGATACTTGAAAAGTCACTATACCCAGAAACATGCCGCCAAACTTAATGCCTACCACGGGGTGTTTTGTAAAGACGACAGAGCAGAACTGAAACATGTCTGCCATCTCCACCAGCTGTTTTAAGTTACAAATGAGGGGCTGGGGATTTAGCTCAGCGGCAAAAGCGCCTGCCTGGCAAGCGCAAGGTCGTGAGTTCAGTTCCCGGTACCGGAGAAAAACCAAAAAAAAAAAAAAAACACTGGCATTAAGTTACAAATGAAACAGACTCTATTATAAAACAACGTGGTAGCAAATCTTATCACAAATAAAAAGAAAGGAAAATCGAAGCCATTTACCAATGGTTTCCATTATTAAGCAATGTATGGAAAGCAAAGTGAATAGAATTTATCCTAATAATAAACAGACTTTTCTGAAATCATTTTTCTCAGCAGACTACAGTCAGACAAACTAAAGAAACTGAAAAAAAAAATCTATCAACAGAGATTTGGAAGGTAACAGATCACTACCAAGAGGATTCAACCTGCCATTTTTGCTAAAGTAATGATAACAAATACGGTGTCACCAAAGAAATGGTTTCTTTGGTGCCATTAAGAGATACAACTAAATTTTCTGATTTATATAAAGCGTAAAAATTAATTAAAATGGTTTTCTTTAACCTTTGTCAATGCATCTGTCTGGTACAGCTACAGATGGCACCCCAACCATGGCTGGTAAAGAAGAGGGGCTTGCACAGCGCCTGCCTGGCAAGCACAAGGTCCTGAGTTCAAGTCCTCGTACCAAAAAAAAAAAAAGAAGAGGGGCTTACAAAACTAATGGAAGGTGATACAATTGCCACTGGCAACTCACATTTGAGGAAATAATCACTGCATCACACACCAGGAAAATTTACTTGCATAAGCTTTCAAAATGGATCATGTGCAGCTTGTAATCAAAGCTGTGAACATCACAATATCCAAGGAATCGAATCATCACCATTCCAAGAGCTCCTTGAAAGTACGGATGCTGACTTATGGGTATATCATTACTTTTCTGAAGGTGGCTGAATCAAAATAAAATGTCAAGAAGATTTTATCATTTGCTAAATAAAACCAAGTCATTTATGAAATCAAAAGGCAAATCTGTGCCAAAACTTGAAGGGAAACATGGCTCACAGATTTAGCATTTTTGCTGTACAGTATTTGATTACCCATTTTTAAAAGTTAAATCGGATTTCCAATGTGAAAAAAAAATCAAAGTATCTGTGCTACGTTTCAAACAATAATGCTCAAAGTAAAACCTATACTGTGGTAAGCTCAAGTTATAGCAAGTAATTTTATGCATTTTGACACACTGGCTAATCACAGTTCTGTGAAGAGCAAAAAACACAGCCTTGCTTTCTTTTTGTTTTTTGAGACAGGGTCTCGCCACACAAATCAGGTTGGCTTGAACTCACCATATAGCCCAGATAAGCCTTAAACTCATGGCAATCCTCCTACCTTCTCCTCCTGAGTGCTGGGACTATACGCCTGCACCACCACGACCGGCTAGCCATGCTTTCTGTAGGGTTTCTTTGCTTGCTGGGTTGGTTTTTTGATTTTTTTGAGACAGGGTCTTGCTAATGTAACTTAAGCGGGCCTTGAACTCACTATGTAGCCGAGGCTTACAGTGATCCTCTTGCCTCAGCCTCTGAGGGCTGGAATTACAGGCATGGGCCACCATGTCTGGCTTTGCTTTCTGTTTTGATACAGAAATTTGAGAACAAAACCAGGTGTGGTGGCTCACACCTGTAATCCCAGCCCTGGGGAGGCTGAGGCAGGAGCATCACACTGTGGGTTCAAGGCCAGCCTACACTACACAGTGAGACCTTGTCTCGAAACAAAACAAAATACCACAAAAGAAGAAATTTGAGAACATTTCAAGACTTTTGAAAAACAACTATCAATTTTTTAGTATATCTGTGACTCCATTTCAGATGACATAAGTATATTCCCTGTAAATTTTCAAACAGAATACATACATCCAAGAAAAATCTGATTAGTCTCTTTACTAGACTTTTATAGGACTTATTTTCCCTGAGAAAAACACCCTCACTCCCCAATCACGCCTTTCTCAAGTCAGAGCTTTTTGGCAGTATGTGTACACGTGAACACCTATTTTTAAGAAGGAAGCACGTAACAATTTCTGAAGACCACCTTGAGAACTCTCTAACTAACAATTGTACCTGCTTTCACTGAACCAGGCATTGATGCCTAAGTTTCACAAAAAGGTCAAATGTTCCATTAATTTTATGTTTATAACAATTCCTCTTCACTCAATGCAGGCCAGGTAGCCAAAAGGTTGGATACCAGAGAGAGAGAACTATCTTTCCATTGCATTCAACTCCATTCTTCAAAAACAAATAATGTAAGGGGATGAAAAAAGAAAAAAGGCAAAGGAAAGAAGAAAGATGTGTTATATACAAGTACCAACACCTCACAAAAAGTGTAACCATGTCTTGAGTGATGTACTAATGAAAGGATTAACGTGCTATTCAGGAAAACAATGACTTTGGGCCGGGGATAGAGCTCAGTGGTGCAGCACCTGCCTGTCAAGAGCGAGGTCCTGAATTTGATTCCATTTACCAAAAAAACCCCAAAACGATAAATTCTTCATTGATGACAACTCTAGTCCTTACTCTACAGGTACGACCAGTAAAAGGTCACACAGATATATTACTGTATTATTTTTCTGAAAAAAAATTTGACAATTTGCATAAAACTGCTTGCTTGCTTAACAGTCCTAAGAAAAAGTTACTGAACTTGACAGCACTCAATTATATATATTTTTGAACTGTCTCTGAAAGGCAAAGCAAGCAACAGCAACAATTAAAATAATACAGCCAGGGGCTGGGGATTTAGCTCAGTGGCAAAGTGCCTGCCTGGCAAGCGCAAGGTCGTGAGTTCGGTTCCCGGTACCGGAGAAAAACCAAAACCAAAAAAAAAAATTAAAAAATAAAAAAAAAATAAAATAACATAATA